GTTGCAGCCGTCATTGTTGTTTGGCGGGTCCGGGCTGGGGATTCGAACCCGCCACCTTAGGTGTATATGGCTGGCGCCTTAGCTGTCTGAGCTATGGGCGCCGAGCCAGCTTGACTGTTTTTTGTTTTTTGAGACAGAGTCTCACTATGTCACCCTGGGCGTCACAGCTCACAGCAACCTCAAGATCTTGGGCTTAAGCGATTCTCTTGCCTCAGCCTCCTAAGTAGCTGGGACTACAGGTGCCCACCACAACGCCTGGCTATTTTTTGGTTTGAATTGTCATTGTCGTTTGGTAGGCCTAGGCCGGGTTGAAATCCACCAGCTCTGGTGTATGTGGCTGGCGCCCCAGCTGCTGAGCTACAGATGCCGAGCCAGCTGGATTCTTTTTTTTTTTCAATTGTAACTCAGATTCTTATTCCTCAAACACTACAAAAAGTAAGTGTAAACCACAGTTATACCTTTAAAAAGAAAATCACCTTTTCCCGTCTTTCACATTTACTTCCCTCACAGGTTGTGGCTGAAATCTACCTTCTCTTCAATACCCCTTGAGAAACACCTGCCTCGCTAGCCAGAGCTTCATTCCCTCAGCATACCTGTGGGTGTCTTAGTTCCTGTCGAGCCCACTACCTTTGCTGGCCCCTGTGAAGGCAGAGCCAAAGTCCTTCAAGCATGGGGGCAAGGCCTTGCTTCTAATAATAGTCACCTCAATGGTCACTTCTGGAGCAGAAGGAAGGCCTGGGGAGAACATGGAAAAAGGGGGGCCCTAGGCAGACCCCTGTGGATGGGAAGCTGGGATTACAGCACAGGCCCACCGTAGGGAACTGCTCCTTTGAACTTTGACAGTATCTGGCAGGACATAAGCTTTTCTGTACCTAGGTGCTTGCTGTGTATGTTAAAGATAGCAAGAAAGTGTTTAAGAGAACCAACCAATTTTTTTTTTTTTTTTTGCGTCAGAGGTCTCACTGTGTTGCCCAGGCTGGACTTGAACTCCTAGGCTCAAGTGATCCGCCTGCCTCCCAAGTAGCTGGGACTACAGGCATGTACCACTGCTCCCAGCTAAGATGCTCAATTTTAAAATGAGCTGTATTCCAAAAGTTTGTTGTTTTTTTTTCTATGAAACTGTTCTCTAAATAATAGAATTTAGAAAAAACTACTGTTGATCTAGTTGTGGCATTCAGATTGACCCATGAGCTAGAGGACAGGTTTACTATTAAAACAGTAAAAAACAGCAAACAGCACCTGCCTATCAAATAGACAGTATGTGCACGTGGCACCTCCCACCCACAGTTTCTCTTTCCTGAGTCCACGTGTGTATGAGTCTTTCTTTAAGCACGTGGAAGCATACTGTGGACGCTGCTCTGCCCCTTCTGTTGTCCATGTGAGGTGTCTTGGCGGTCGCTTCTCATCTCGTTTCTGTGTGGATATATTTTAACGTGTACCCATTCTCAGCAGGCTTCTGTATCACTTGCAGCATTTTGCTATTCTAAAATGCAGACAGCGCTGTAGGGATTATCCTCATTTACACATATGTGAAACTTTCCTGATGGGTCAGCTCCTCGGAGCAATTGCATTGGGGCCCTTGTGCATTTGTGGTTTTGACTATCCACAGGAGCTCATGCCTTCCAAGGAACTCATACCAGTGTGCACTCCATGGATGGTGTTGAGAAAGCGCCTGTTTGCTCCACCCTGCACAATATCTTTTGGTTTTATTCTTTTCTCCTAAGAAATCAGTTTTGTTGGGGAGCTCCAGGAACAAGCGGCGAAGGAAGGGTTGCATGGCATTAGCGCTTGGTGGCTGTGTGTGCAGTGGCACCAAGAGAGGCCATAATCATTCCTTGCAGTGGGTTCTCCTGCAGCCGTGGAGCTGGGTGCAGTCATGCTAGTGGGCACGAGAGTCCCAGGGGTTCCCCTGTGAGGTGGTTTTTCTTGGGCTTCTCACCTGAGCTTGAAGCCCCACATCTGGTATCTGATCTGCCTTCCTCAGTCTGGCCCAGATGCTTCGTGCCATCTCCATCTTGTTTTTTGTCATGTTTCTCCTGGTCCATCTGACAGGTGAAGAATGGCACATCACTGTGCTTGTAACCTCGTTCACCTGGCAGTGATTAAAAATCAGAAACAGACGTGGAAACTTACCTAATAAGAGTCATACTTGGGATCAGTGATCCCTGCTGAGAGGGAGGCTCACAGAATCTAAAGGCTGCACAGAAACTTCCAAAAGGCCTGGCCACTTCTGAAACGGCGCTCTTTTTCATGCTGTAGAATACCTACACTTGGGGGTGAGCACAAAGGGAGAAGCTGATTAGAACGTACCCGTGAGGAGTCTGAGCATGGTATCCATTATAGAACCAGCCTCTCCTTCACACAAGCAGTATGTTTAGTTTACTCCTCAGGAGTAGAGGCCAACTATCTCCACAGTGGTGACAGTGAGGCTGCTGTGGGGTGCTGCCTGCCTCCCAGGCCCTGCTCTTGGCACTCTGTGTGAGTGAGGTGGACACTGCTATTCCTTTGGTGGTGCAGTTGTGAAAACAGGTTCAGAGAGGGTAAGTAACTTAGTGTGGTCACACAGCAGCAGAGCTCGGTTGGTGTAGCATCAGGGCTGGGTCAGTCAGTCCTGTGCAGAAAGACTGGTTGGCCTGTGTCTCTCCTTAAGAGGCCCAGAAGAGACAAGGCTAGAAATTCACAGCTTTTGTTTCACTATATAAATGAATTCTTTTCAAACAAATGATAGGTGATTTTTAAATAAAAGTAAAAGAATGTCACAGAATTGCATCAGGAAAATTTCTAGTTTAGTATAACTACAAATGTAGGTTTCTGTTAATAGTTTAAATTATAAATTGAACTAGGTGCGATTCCAGCAGGGGGAGACAAATTCGCACTGATTTTTCTGCAAGAAAAACAGGATTATTTATACTTTGTGTGTGTGTGTGTGAGAGAGAGAGATGAGAAGAGGGTGCCTCGGAGAGCCATGTTGTTCCCTTTGCATATTTGTGCCTCTCAAGATCCATAACATGGGTCTTTTAGAAAAGGGTCAGTGGCTATAAAAGCAAATGATATTTCCGAAGTTATTTCACTGTGCACAGTGTATTATGTGATGCTTTTAAAAAGAAAAACTCCACCTGTCTAGAAAGCTTTATTTGAGAGCTACTTTTTGAACATATTGTTGGCCAAGCAAGATTCCTAATGCCTTAGTCCTGAACATGTTTAGCATCAAAAGCCCCGATTTTGGCAGGTGTTCTCTCTGACATTAGTGTGTCACTCTGGGAAATCAGAGCACTCCACACCAAAAGCATGGTCTGTTGAGCGCGTTGAGCAGAAAGGGCTCGAAAGAATGAAACGGCCAATGGGCGGCAGTGGGGTCGGTTCCCCCTTCATGTAGCTTGGCGTGGTGAACTGGCATTAAGTACAGCTCACCAGTTTTAAAGAGCGATAAATTGTTTCTAAGTTTCGGTCTCTGTGAGCCCGAGTGATGTGATGGGCCTATGCTAAGCCTCGCTGGTTCTGCTTTGCTCATAGCAGGATGGACCAAAGCAAGCAGGCTCTAAATAAAGGTTGACCTGTCCTCTGGAAGTCTCCCCATGATGGGGGGAGAAATTGGTACAGCCATGGTGAGTAGTGCCTGAAGGACACTCTGGTGCCTTATCTCCCAAAGGGGCAGGAGCAATGTATAAGGTTCCATGTTTCACAGAAGGCTGAGACAGCCTCCTTTGCGGGGAGCCTAATTTTCATGGCATTCACTGATGGCTTACTGTGCACCCTTTCTCTCGGGCACACTCCAGCTCCACACTGTCTCGCTTCCTTTTGTGGGCTTTCTAGCCAGATTCTCACAGTAGAAGAGGCCATATTGCTTAATACTCACCTGCTTCTTGTTTTGCTGGTGAGTTCAGAAGACAGTGACTCTTAAGTCATAAAGAGTATTACCAGCAGAAGCCAGGGCCCCAGCTCAGACTTGACCCTGGACCACAAACACATGAGCAACGTGGAAGTAAGATTCCCCTTGTGCCAGGCCCTCAGCATGCACACACCGCGGACTTGTTAGATGCGTTGGGTGCCCATGGTACTTGTGAACATTGCGACCAGGGGCTACTGGGGAGGGTTATTGTAGAATCTGAGTAATTGACCTGACAGATAGTAGTAATTGCTTCATTAAGAGCCGCATGACACCATGAGCTGAAGCAGTTCGGCATCCTCTGATGCTGCCATGTTTTGAAGCATCATTCTTCCTTGGTAATGCACCATCTCTGTCTGTTACCAGCATCCCTTCCCTTAAATCTGGTACATTTCAGATTCTTGGAGTGATGATCTCCTTCTGCTGTTAGGGCTCCTTGGAAACCAGATGTTCCTTAGGGGAGTCGCCCCTGCTTGTCATGTTTGCCTCTATGCATATCCCCGCCCCCACCCCCAAACTCCAGAGGCAGGGAAGCCGCAAATATGGTCCGCTCAGAGGTGAGCATCAGCGTGCAAAGGCCAACTTTGACCCGTGGCCCTGGGTGAGAGCTTAGAAGTTTGGTACCAAAGAGGAAAGGAAAACTGTTTGTGCCATTAGAGTCAGGATCAGCTGTCATAGAACCGATTTGCAGCAGTGTGGCTATCACAAAAGGTGGCCCAGGACGGGTTCTTGAAGCTCCAGTTTGTATTAACCGTTTGAGTCATACTTTCCCACTTAAATTATTTCCCTGCTGATTTTTTTCTTCCACAGGAAGACACCATGGAGGTAGAAGAGTTCTTGAAGGAAGCTGCAGTGATGAAAGAGATCAAGCACCCAAACTTAGTGCAGCTGCTCGGTGAGTGGGTGTGTACCATCGGGGACACAGGTGCTAAGCAAGGGGGACAGACAGCTCCCTGCATCCCAGCTTCCGATTGGGACATCTGTGCTTTTCTGACATTTAGCTGCTAGTAAAGGAGTACTCTGTGGGATGGGGAGCTGAGAGACAGAGAGGAAATATGTGATTATACAAATCTGGAATTGGCTTCTGAAACTTAAGAATTTCAAGAGTTTTTTCCACTGAAGTGATTCTGTAGGTAGACAGACATATAACCGTCAGACATAGCAATTTGGGGGTAAACACACAATGGCTGAGGTCACTTGGTGTGGGGCCTGGTCTTGGTTTCTGAACTCTTGGCAGCCTCTCCCCATGTAAATTCAAGTTCATTGGCTTGAGAGGAAGAAAAAAGCATGACTGTCTCCCTGCCCTAGGAGCGCAATCTCAAGGCACAGGCACTTGGAACTGTGGGAGAAGTTGGGCCCAGGACTTCAGGGCACATCAGAGTCCAGCTCAGAAGGCTTTTTCTTTAGGGAGATGTTTGTTCACTCAGGAGTAGAGCTGAGTGCTGAAGTCCTCAGTGTCTTGTTGGCAGGGGTCTGCACACGGGAGCCCCCATTCTATATAATCACCGAGTTCATGACCTATGGGAACCTGCTGGACTATCTGAGAGAGTGTAATCGGCAGGAGGTGAACGCGGTGGTGCTGCTGTACATGGCAACTCAGATCTCGTCAGCTATGGAGTACCTGGAGAAGAAGAACTTCATCCACAGGTAGGGACCTGGCGAGGCAGCCTGTTGGTTACCAAAAGCCCGTCCTGCAAGGTCTCAGGCTTAGCTGCTACCTCTAGTGCTGGCAGTACATTAGACCTTGGAACAAAGGCAGCCACTAGGTCCCTGACACAGCCAGCTTCAGGTATACCTCCTAGACTAAATTCAGCCAGGCCTCAGCCCTGGACTAACAGAGCAGTTAATCCTCAGGGTAAAAAATATTTCATTTTTGAACCATTTTGGGCTAAGTGGAATATTAATTGAGGTTCATAGATGGCGTTCTTTCCAGTAATCACAGCTCCCTCCGAAATAAAGCGCTCATTGTTCCTGCAAGGCTGGTGTTCCTCGGTAATGACCTCTTCCTGGGCGCAGTCAGCACTGATTTCACACAAACTCGTGGTAACGGCCGCTGCACAGTTTTGTTTTTAAGTGTGTGGGATTTTTTTTTCCTCCTTTATTATCATTTCATTCTCTAATTCACTTGCTGTCATCTGGTTCAGGGATGTTTCCATGATTGTCAGAATTGTATATATGTAGGCCTAAATTAAATGTCTTTGCTGTTTTAAACCCAGGAGAGTTTTGACCTTCAAGTGTGCCATAATTATCTTGGTCTTCGCATTCTTTGCTAGTGGAAATGGCTTCCTAGCACAGCAACGGCCTATGCAGGACAGAGCCTGATGGGCTTTTGTACAAGATGTTCTCCACGCCACCATTGTGACCTTTCCTACCCAATTAACTCAAGCATGAAACCTCTACATGAGATTTCGTAGCGTGGAGGAAGAGTAGCATGAGTGATCTGCCGGTGGCTCTGTGCAAGACAGATTTCCTGTGCGCCACAATAGCCTGATCCGGATGCTTCGGCAGTCAGGAAGGTGAACCCTCTGGTGCTGCAAATTGAGTTTGCTTGACTTCTCGTTTGCCTTGCCTGGCTAGGCCTGTTCCTTCTTCATTCAGGCAAACTTAAAATGCTTTACCAAAATCCTGTCAGTCACGACTCTTGTGTATTTAATTTCTCTCTCATTGCTGATGATCGGGCTGTCTCATGCAGCCATCACCTCAAGCTGCTGCCTCTTCTCATCCCTCCCCTCTAGTGATTTTATGGTTAACATTCATGAAGCAAAGATTAGACTCCTACCTCCCTGGGAGGATCAAGAGGTGAGAGGAGGAAGATTATACAGGAGAGAGTTTTTAGGATACACTTGGGTAAGCATTAGGAAGAAAGAGAAGAGTGGGAAACAGAATTTAGGTAAAAAGAATGCCATGGGCTTTATTTTATTTTTTCCTGTCAAGTCTGGATAGGTCAAGCAGAGATTCACTGTGATACAAGCTTCTTGTGACTGAGGACTGGGCTAAGTGTTTACCCTTCTCCCTGGCACAGAGGAGCAGAGACTGCACACTTGCTCTTCTCAATGCCCGGATCTGAGCACTTTGCATATTAATTCATTACCTCTCACAACAACCCGAAGAGGCAGACACTGTTACTATCATCTTCATTTTACGGATGAGGTAACTGAGACCCAAGCTAATTAACTTGCTCTGGGTCACGCACTGCGAGCCTGATCCCAGTGCCAGCCTCTGTAGCTGGTCCCCATGCTGGGCACACACAGTGTACCACTTCCCAGCAGGATGTTACATAAGTTCCCAGGGGACGATCCTCCCATGGTCAAGAGTGTCGTGACTTTGCTCAGCAGCAATAGGTTTGTAAGTTGGCCAGGAGCTCTCATGGCTGAATTTTTTCCTTTCTTAGAGATCTTGCTGCCCGAAACTGCCTGGTAGGTGAGAACCACTTGGTGAAAGTGGCTGATTTTGGTCTGAGCAGGCTAATGACAGGGGACACTTACACAGCCCACGCCGGAGCCAAGTTCCCGATCAAATGGACGGCGCCTGAAAGCCTGGCCTACAACAAGTTCTCCATCAAGTCTGATGTCTGGGGTAAGGGCACTGCTGCTGCACGGGGCCCCAGCCTACGGCAAGAGGCTTCTTTGCTTTTCTCCTGGCTTTTTACTGTGTCTTTCATGCTCTTCCTTTTCTCTTCTCTTCATTACTTAATTCTCCTTCTTATTTTATTTCTTCCGCTCTCATTTTAAAATCCTTTCTCACACTTTCTTTTCAAAATGAAGTAAAAGTGAAATTTTTCCTCCTCAATAATCCAGGATAATTTTTTTTTTAATTTGCCATTATTATGTCTTTATTCTAAGTTTGCTGCTTGGGTTTTGGATTTGCTCAGGCAGCTGGCAGACCCTATAGGTACCTAGAACCTTTCCCTGTGCAGGATATACTATAGAAGTCTGATTTTTTTAAGGAACTTTTTATTATGACAAATTGTAAGCCTGTGCTGAGGACAGTGTCCTGTAACAACACTCCCACCCAAGCTCGTGGGCCTGCTTTGGTGACGTCTCCTCATACCACACATGCTTCCTCTGGGCCCCACCTAGGCCCCATCCATAACTACTTTGAAGCAATTCCCAGACATCATATTATTTTGCATAATAGTTTGGGAAACTATTTCAGTATAAGTCTCTTAAAGACCACTTTTTTATTAGCATAGTGATGTTGTTACCCCCCACATTGGCAGTTACTTCTGATATTTTCAGATATCCAGCATCAAATTTTCAGTTAACTCTGAAAATCACACTCTCTTTTGTTTTTACAGTGTTTGAACTGAGGCCCCAGTATGGCCACCAGTGTGCCAGTCACTCTGTCCCTCCAGTGTCTTCTCATCTGCAAGCTCTTTCTCCATGTCTCTATTCCTGTGCTGTCTGTTTCCTGAAGAAACTTCATGGTCTGTCCCTTATGGTTTCCCACATCTGAGTTTTGCTCACTGTGTCCACAGTGTGACTTAGGATGTTCCTCGGCTTCAGTATTTCTAGGAAGTGGGTAGTTGGTCCAGGTAGTTTGATCACAGTCAGGTTTGAGTCCTCTCCGTCTTAGTAAGTGTGTGTCAGAGGAGCGTGCTCTTCCGTCAGTGGATACACAATGCTTGGTTTTCTTTTTCGTGATTTTTTTTTTTTAGCAGTTATTAATATCCAGGGCCTAGATCTCATAGTTCACTAGAGGTTGCCAGATGGAACTTCTCTAATTCTTTCGTTCCTGGTTTATCAGTGGATAGAGGAAACTGCCCTTCTTATGTTTGATTGCATAGTGGGCTTATTCATGTAGAAAAAGCAGGATAAATTCTCTGCTTCTCTACCTTTATTTACCAGTTTTTGAAATAACTGTTTGGTTTCTTAACATTTTGAATCTGAACAATACCTGTAAGCATTCAAACTAGATATTCCTTTGGTGCAAATGATGCCTGTAGACACAGTTCGTTTCTGAGCTCTCTGCAGTCAAAAGAGATAATACTCTTGGGTGGCGCCTGTGGCTCAAAGGAGTAAGGCACCAGCCCCATATGCCAGAGGTGGTGGGTTCAAACCTAGCCCCGGCCAAAAACTGCAAAAAATAAATAAATAAATAAATAAAAGAGAGAGAGAGATAATACTCTTCAATGGAGACAAATTAGGGGGGGGGTTTGTTTTTGCTTGTCTTTTGTGGTATTATTATGAACTCTCAGATTTAAATATATTTGGTATGTTTTAATCCACTGAAGTTGTTTTTCTTGTTGATACCCAGATTGTCTCACCTGTGGGCAGTAGAAACTTTAGCTCCTAGGCCTTTTGGCCTTGCCCTTGTGGTTTTCCGTGACATCCATGCTGTCTGAAATCACAAGATACTCCAGGTTCATTCTCTATCCCCAACTGGTTCTTTGAGGAGTTCTGGTTCCTTTAATGAGAAATGACGTTTCAAGGCCATAATCTGGGATTTCAAAGACCTCATAAGATTTTTATGAGCTTTTTAGAGTTGGAAGGAGCCTTGGAGATAATCTTGTACACCTGAAAACGAGTGGTGGCCAGTATCTGGTTGTCACCAAGCTATGAGTGGACTGTGGTCACCTCAGTTTTAGCCCTAGGTTCCTTCCACAACGTATCAGCAAGATGATTACCTGAAAGCCCCCCAAGGGTCTGATAATACAGTCCTTTTCTGGATTGTTTTAGCCTGTTTAGAGAGTAAACTGAAAATGTCATTCTGTCCTGTTTTGTCTTATACTGTTGGTAACTAAGAGCCTGGTAAAATGGCAGTGCCGAGGGTGCTTCTGAGGGCGTGATTTCTGGTGCCTACCAGACAGGTAACCGATTTCAGTTACAACGAAGTTATATCCTGCACATTTTGAGCCACCTTTTTCTTTTTTCTTTTAGCATTTGGAGTATTGCTTTGGGAAATTGCTACCTATGGCATGTCACCATACCCAGGAATTGACCTATCCCAGGTTTATGAGCTGCTGGAGAAAGATTACCGCATGGAGCGCCCAGAAGGCTGTCCAGAGAAGGTCTATGAACTCATGCGAGCATGTGAGCCTCCCCAGCCTGCCCTGAGATGCACAGGGCACCGTGAGGAGTCCCAGCAATGCAGGGGTGGACGAAGTAGAAACTTAATGTCTTTCCATTTGCTCTGTCCTAGTTCCTTGGAAGCAACTAATACAACAGTTTTATTAGTTGCTTCCAGACTTTTTTCAGTGGTTCTATATTCCTTTATTTACAGGTAGCATATATGTCAGTTGTTTTTGGTTTTGTTTTTAAGCAAAAATGGGGTAAATGGCTTCTAAACCTGGGTTTTGTATTAATAAATACAGGTTCCAGGGCCCTGCCTTCCGACATTCTGCTATAATCACTAACCGCTTAGGGTAATGTTTAGCCTATTGGTTTTATATTCTTTACTTATGCCTATTTATACTGTGTGTTTATGTGATTCTTTATCATGTGTTTTGTAAGATGTTTACACAATCGTTGCCTCTGTGTTTTCCCACTCGGCAGGGTAACAGGCTTGCCTTTCTGTACCCATGTATTCAGATCTCTCACTCTTCTCCCCACCTTCTACCTTCCTGCAGTTGCCTAGCATTCTGTTAAATGATTTAATGCATTCATTCTTTGCAGTCCTCTTTCTGATGAGCATTTGGTTGTTTTATAATCTGTTTGCATTTTTGCTGTTATAAATAAGGCAGGAACGGACACCCTCAAACAGATGCCTCTCTGGGTGCTTATGCTAGTATTTCTAAAAGTTGGACCATTGGTTCAGAGGACTGTGTGGGTTTTAAATTTTGATAAATGTTACCAAATTGTTTTCCCCAAATGCTGTACCAGTTAATACCCAGGTGAGAAGGGCATGAGAGGGCCACATCTGCTACCCGGCTCAGGGCTTCGTCAGTCTGTATAGTCTGCAGTCTGGTCTTGTTTTCATTAGCGTCTCTTTACTGGTGAGGATTTCAGGCTTCAAAAAGTCAAGAATGAGAGTGGAGAGCTTCTTGGGTTAGTAATTTGCTGTACCTGCTAGACTGGGGCTGAGGAAGATACATATTTGTACATGCAGTTCTTACTCATTTATTTATTTTTTCAAGACAGAGTCTATGTTGCCCTGGACAGAGCTCCATGGCGTCACAATTCACAGCAACCTCCAACTCTTGGGCTTAGGCGATTCTCTTGCCTCAGCCTCCCAAGAGGCTGGGACTACAGGCGCCCACCACAATGCCCAGCTATTTTTTGGATGTTGTTGCTGTTGTACTTGTTACTGTTGTTTAGCAGGCCTGGGCCAGATTCGAACCTGCCATCCCCAGTGTATGTGGCCAGTGCTGTAACCACTGAGCTACGGGCACCAAGCCTATAAGTGGAGTTCTTGCTGTCAGGGTGTCTCTGAGTGGGGAACCTACAGCCTCAGGGACACATGTGGCCCTCCAGATCCCTAAATATGGCACCTCAACCAATTTATTAAAAGGATTTGTTCTATAAGATTTGGATTCAGTCACATGATAGCACTCAAGGATCCAGAAGACCATGTGGCCCCAAGGCTACACGTTTCCCACCCCTGCTGGCGGGGTGTACAGTCTACATTCCTGCCAGTAGCTATTATCTTTATTTATTTATTTATTTATTTATTTATTTAGAGATAGTCTCAAGCTGTTGCCCTGGGTAGAGTGCCATGGCATCACAGCTCACAGCAACCTCCAACTCTTGAGCTTAAGTGATTCTCTTGCCTCGGCCTCCCAAGTAGCTGAGACTACAGGTGCCCACCACAGTATCTGGCTGTTTTTTGGTCATAGTTGTCGTTGTTGTTTATCTGGCCTTGGCTGGGTTTGAACCTGTCAGCCTTGGTGTATGTGGCTGGTGCTGTTAACCATGTGCTATGGGCACCAAGCCTACTGTCTTTTCAAATTGTTATGTCTATTAATAGGACACAATGGCGTTCATTTTAACTTGTCACAGCAAAAGCTGGTTAGCAGGATTAGTATGCTTCTTTAATTTCCAGACTTTTCCTTGAGAACTGCTAGCTTCACATTGGTAGCAAGGTCTCATGGATGGTCTGACCTCGGTCTCCTCTGTTCAGGTTGGCAGTGGAACCCCTCTGACCGACCCTCCTTTGCTGAAATCCACCAAGCCTTTGAAACAATGTTCCAGGAGTCCAGTATCTCAGATGGTAAAGTCCCTCCCCAGGGTGCCTACAAGGGGGGTGGCCATGCAGGTGGGACTCCAACCTGGGTCCTTCAGTTTATTTCCTGGTGAAAGTGCACACAGGCCAGCAAAGCACTGAGACCAGAAAGTGGGGCAGAGGTGCTGATTGCCTTCTGCAGCCCTGCAGCGATTTCTGAGAAGTACTAAGTGCTGCTTCTCCAGCATCTGTCCCTTTTCTTTGGCCTTGTATAGATGGCCGCTGTTACCCGAGAAAGAGAAAGAACCATCACACTAAGCTGACCTTGGTACTGATGGTGATGGGTTTGTGTTTGTATGTGTGTGTGATTCTCAGAAGTGGAAAAGGAGCTGGGGAAACAAGGTGTCCGAGGGGCCACCAGCACCTTGCTTCAGGCCCCAGAGCTGCCCACCAAGACCAGGACCTCCAGGAGAGCTGCTGAGCCCAAAGATGCCACCGACATGCCTGAGGCTCCTCATTGCAAGGTCCAGGGAGAGAGTGGTATGTCCCCACCCCCACCTCACCCAAACCCCATCACTCTTCTTTCTCCTGGTGGTCCAGGGAGGGTCAACAGCCTGGGGCCCACAGAGACAAATGGGAAGCTGTAAGCTGGGTCCGCACACCATATCCTTCCTCAGCAGCGCTGCAGACAGAGGAAGGCTCTCCCCACAGTCCCCGCCCCCTCCCTCTGTGCGTCACTGGGCTGTTGGCTGCAGCAGTCAGTTCAGGGAGATGGGCAGCATGCCTGCACTCCCTGTTGCTTGCAGCATTTGTGCTGCGCTCTTGGGGCAGATATGACAACGGTAAGCCGCGAACCGAGTGACAAGCAGCTTGCTATGAAAGCACCGACATGAAAAGCTCACTGGAGCTAAGTGGAACCAGGAGACACCTGTGCGCAGAGCTGGTGTCCTCATGGTTTCTGGGAGGAATGCCTTTCTGGTGCTCTTCCCTAGGTGAGTGAGGGCGATGGGGTCAGTTCAGGAGGGGTCTCAAAATAATATCAAAAATGGTATTAGCGGCTCGGCACCTGTGGCTCAAGTGGCTAAGGCACCAGCCACATACACCTAAGGTGGCGGGTTCAAATCCAGCCCAGGCCCGCCAAAACAACAATGACAGCTGCAACCAAAAGAAAAAAAAAAAACAGCTGGGCGTTGTGGCAGGCGCCCATGGTCCCAGCTACTTGGGAGGCGGAGGCAGGAGACTCGCTTGAGCCCAGGCATTGGCCCTCTACCCAGGGCAACAGCTTGAGGCTCTATCTCAATAAATAAATAAATAAATAAATAAATGAAAATGGTATTAGCAACATTAATCTAGTCTTCCTACACACCAGGCTCTGTCCTGTGTTAGTCACCCGCAGCAGCCTGCATTCTGCTACAGATCATGTGAATGAAAGCGCAAGGGTGGCCACATGTCTGGGTTATCAAGGCTTCCAGGCTGTGCTGACAGTGGGCTGGACTCTGAGGGAAGGGACTAGACAAAGCCAGCCTTGGTTGTTTTTATTTTTTTTGAGCTAGGGTCCCTCTCTGTTGCCCTGTCTAGAGTGCAGTGATGTCATCATAACTCATAGCAGCCTCAAACTCTGGGGCTCAAGAGATGCTTCTGCTTCAGCCTGGGACTGCAAGTGCCCCTCAGCATGCCCAGCTAGTTTTCTATTTGTTGTAGAGACTGGGTCTTGTTCATGCTCAGGCTGGTCTCAAATTCCTGACCTCAGGCAATCCTCCCATCTCAGCCTCCTGAAGTGCTGGGATTACAGGCCAGAGCCTGGTCCAAAGCCAGGTTGTGATGGAGATTTGTGGTGGGATGTCTACTCAGAGCAGAATCTCTAGACCTCAGATTTTTTTAATCATAACCCATATTTTTTAAAATGAGCCTAGGTGTGTATAGTATTTAAAGTATTTATGTGTATATATATACACACACACTACTGTAGGAATATAGTATGTGTATTACAAAATATGCCCAAAATACACACTTAAAATGTTTACATAAGAAATCTAAATTATAGTTCTTTAAAAACCTGTTCAAGCATCTTGTTGGCCCACTTTGGAGGTTATGGCATGTGGAATCTCCGGAATCTTTGACCTGTTATCCTTATGTTGGTTTTTATTATGCCGGGTAGCTGAGTAGTGGGAGGAGGCCACCATGGGAGCTCTGTGCACGTCATAGCCAATGATAAGCATCCATGTCCATTTATACCAGTGAGTCCTCTTCTGAGGGGCATTTGATATGCAATCTCACGGTGAGCCGAGGGTGTCAGTTGCTCAGCTCTGAGACAGAGCTATGTATAATCCATAAAATGTTGCTTGTCAGTCTTCTTCCCCTGGATTGAAATTTGGGGAAGTCTTTGCTGCTCTTTGAACAGATGTCCCACTTGCTGCCTGGATTCTGCCAGATCATGCTGCCTCTGAGCTATAAGGGAGAATTCTGTCATTCACAGGAGCCTGGCAACATCAGAAAGTTTTTTTTGTTTTTTTTTTTGCAGTTTTTGGCCGGGGCTGGGTTTGAACCTGCCAACTCTGGCATATGGGGCCAGCACCCTACTCCTTTGAGCCACAGGTGCTGCCCACAGAAAGATTTTTTTATGAACTAGATTTCATATTTAAAGAGTGTCCATTTAGAAATTGTCCAAGCATGTTTCCCACACATGATGTCCCATTGTGCCTTCCTCACTGTGGTGTGCAGCTCCTTCCCTCCAAATCACACCTTGTAGGTACTCTGACTGGCAGCTAGTGTGAGAGCCACAGGTTTGACCCTTTGCTTGGCCCTGTCCCCAGAGAGAGATGTTGGAGGAACCTCGCTGCCTCATAGTAAGCCAGGGCTGGGACGGAGAGCCCAGAGCAGTCCAGCTCTTTGTTCCTCTTCTTCAAGGAGAGCCCTAAGCCTTTCCTAATGGTAAAACTAGCAGCAACAATGACGTTGAGTGGAAGCTGGGACACGTGTTCCGCATTCATCATACCATTTACTCTCTCACAACACTGCAGTCCTTTCTAAGTGAGAAAGCTGGCAATGAGCAGAGAAGTCACTTGACTAGGCCTTGTGGAAAGTGGCCAGCAGATCTGGTTATCAGATGCAGGCCCATCAGCCCAAATCCCACCTGGTCCTCTAGAGCGTGTCGGGTGCCCAGCCCCACGCTAGCAGTGCCTTTGGTCTGGGTTCACCTCTTCCCAATGTGTTTCAGATCCTCTGGACCACGAACCTGCTGTATCTCCACTGCTCCCTCGAAAAGAGCGAGGTCCCCCGGATGGTGGCCTGAACGAAGATGAGCGTCTTCTCCCCAAAGACAAGAAGACAAACTTATTTAGCGCCTTGATCAAGAAGAAGAAGAAAACAGCCCCAACCCCTCCCAAACGCAGCAGCTCCTTCCGTGAGATGGATGGCCCGGCAGAGCGCAGGGGGGCTGGCGAGGAAGAGTGCCGGGAAATCAGCAATGGGGCACTAACTTCCACCCCCTTAGATGCAGCAGAGCCAGCCAAGTCCCCAAAGCCCAGCAATGGAGCTGGTGTCCCCAATGGAGCCCTCCGGGAATCAGGAGCCACAGGCTTCCGGTCTCCCCACCTGTGGAAAAAGTCAAGCACGCTGACTAGCAGCCGCCTCACTGCTGGCGAGGAGGAGGGCAGCAGCAGCTCCAGCAAGCGCTTCCTGCGGTCCTGCTCTGCCTCTTGCGTGCCCCATGGAGCCAAGGACACAGAGTGGAGGTCGGTCACACTGCCTCGGGACTTGCAGTCCACTGGAAGACAGTTTGACTCATCCACGTTTGGAGGGCACAAAAGTGAAAAGCCAGCTCTGCCTCGGAAGCGGGCTAGTGAGAACAGGCCTGACCAGGTGACCAGGGGCACTGTGACTCCCCCGCCCAGGCTGGTGAAAAAGAACGAGGAAGCTGCTGATGAGGTCTTCAAAGACACCATGGAGTCTAGCCCGGGCTCCAGTCCCCCCAGTCTGACTCCAAAACTCCTCCGTCGGCAGGTCATGGTGGCTCCTTCCTCAGGCATCTCCCACAAGGAAGATGTGGGGAAGGGGAGCGTCTTAGGAACCCCAGTTGCAGCTGAGCCCGTGCCCCCCACTAGCAGAGCAGGCTCAGCCATACCCGCAGGCACCAGCAAGGCCCCGGCAGAGGAGTCCAAAGCACGGAGGCACAAGCACTCCTCGGAGTCTCCTGGGAGAGACAGGGGGAAACTGTCCAAGTTCAAACCTGCCCCCCCACCCCCTCCAGGCTCTGCAGGGAAGGCTGGGAAGCCCTCACAGAGCCCAAGCCAGGAGGCAGCCGGGGAGCTAGGCACCAGCACAAAAACAAGATCCATGAATCTGGCTGTTGATTCTGTGAACAGTGATGCCACCAAACCCAGCCAGTTAGGAGAGGGCCTCAAAAAGCCTGTGCTCCCGTCCATACCAAAGCCACAGTCGTCCACCAAGCCATTGGGGACCCCCACCAGCCCAGCCCCTACTTCCTCCACGTTGCCATCAGCATCTTCAGCCTTGGCTGGGGACCAGCCATCTTCTACCGCCTTCATCCCTCTCATATCAACCCGCGTGTCTCTTCGGAAAACTCGACAGCCTCCGGAACGGATTGCCAGTGGCACCATCACCAAGGGTGTGGTTCTGGACAGCACTGAGGCCCTGTGCCTCGCCATCTCTAGGAACTCTGAGCAGATGGCCAGCCATAGTGCGGTGCTAGAAGCCGGCAAAAACCTCTACACATTCTGCGTGAGCTACGTGGATTCCATCCAGCAGATGAGGAACAAGTTTGCCTTCCGAGAGGCCATCAACAAACTGGAGAACAACCTCCGGGAACTTCAGATCTGCCCCGCGACGGCAGGCAGTGGCCCAGCAGCCACTCAGGACTTCAGCAAGCTCCTCAGTTCTGTAAAGGAGATCAGTGACATCGTGCAGAGGTAGCAGATGCCAGCAGTCAAGAAGCCGGAGCTGCCTGCAGCACAAGGGGGGCCCGTCATGCCCGTGACAGTGGTTGACAGGGGACCAGTGAGCCAGCACCTTGGGCCAGGAGCTCTGCACCAGGCACAGTCAAGGGCCCCCGTGGAGTCCAGCCCTACTACCTATGTGTGCCCCAGCTGTCTCCCTACACTGCCCTCCCTAGCCTGGGCTCCCTGAGCCACCTTTGTCCTCGTGTTTTATCTGTGGAGTCCCTGCTCTGTGGACTGCAGTGGGTATACCCTGGCCCATCAGGCTGGTTCCCACCAAGTGCTTCAGACTGAGCTTTCCAGCTCAGGTGGGAACAGTCACTAAGGAGTGCCCTTTTCATTTTTCTCTCTGGAGACCCTCCTCTGGTGGTGCCTTCTTTCATTTGTCCCCCTTGCCCCAAACAGAAGCCTGAACCAAGTCCATGGCCTTGTCCCTCCCCCATACTCCCCGCTCCTTTACCTCCTGCTTTGAAGATATGTTTCAAGAACCACATTATAGGAGGGGTATGCATGGCCAGTGCTTCCAGCTGGTCCCTCTGCCCTCCTCTGCTCCACAGGGCTGGGCACACTTACCTTCCCTTGTGTACAGGACAGCTCTTGATTCGGGTGGGAAACAGGGTGCTAATACCAACCAGCCTTTGTGTCCTGGACAGCTGGAAGCTATCATCTGTCCTGTCCGAGTCCCTGGACCCCATCCTTACTGTTTTTGACATGCTCTGCCAGGTCCTGGCGAAAAAGCTTAAGTCTTAAGGGTGGCAGGTCATTGTTACTGCTGACCCCCCAGCAGAACAGGCCTGGGCAGGGAGGCAGTGGCTGGCTGGGTAAACAGCTGGTGCCAGGCTAGCCCTGGACTGGGCCTAGGCAGATCTGGTGACCCAGGTTAAGACTTCCTTTCTCACATCCTGGTGACCCATTACCTTCCCTCCCTGGCCCTTTTCTCTGTGATAAGACAGTCTCCAATTTTCTGGAGTTCTTGAAGCATTTCAAAGCTCTACCCTCTGCAAAGCCATTTGGATACGAAAAGGAGCTGCCACAGGGCACCAGCAGACAGGCTGGAGGCAGAAGAGGACTGTTGGCACCAAAAGCCTGACCAGTGTTAGCTGTGCTCTTGAATTGGGGAAATGTCTTTTATTTAATTACCATGAGCAACACTTGGCTTCATGTCTCTGTGGGGCCATCAGGGAGTGTTAAGAAAACCACAGATGAAGCCCCACAAAGTATTTTCAAAGAGCAAGCCCTGGTGTCTTTTCCTCCGGGTTGCTCAGGACCCAAGCTGAGGGACAGAGACCTTGACCTTTGGGGACCTCAGGTGTCCTGGACTTTGGCCTAGAGCAGCTAACTCGAGGAGGAGGGACCTCACTTGGGCCCAGGGTAAACCACCTTCGCACTCCCTGGGCCTCTCAGACCTGTAACCTCACAGGCCCTGTTTTTACACTGATCACCTAAAACTTGTTTTGTTTTTCTAGTAGAAAAGGTTTCCTCTGGATCGTTTTATTATGCGGTTCTCACAGCAAATCACCTCTTTGCCCCCCAAATGGCTGTGTTATGCAGCCTGAGGGAGGTGCTGACACCAACAGCGGCCTTGCAGACAAAGCAAACTGACCACCCAGTATCCCTGACTGCCTGTTTCCACGAGGTACTGGGCTCTTTGTTAACATGATGTGCCACTATATTTTACATTTATACCTTGGTATTACACTCTTTTATAGACTTGCTCTTTTATAAATGACATGTAAATAGTTTTCCACTCTCCTCCCTTCTGGAATGCCTATGGGGTCCCTCCATTTTTTTTCTGGGTCCAGTACATTTTGTTTCTGTATATGACTCCTTGTGTTTTTGAATCCAAATTTTTCCTCTGTAGTATTTTTTAAATAAATCAGTGTTTACAATTTTAGAATCCTTGGCCGATTGCTTTGGTCTGTAACACTTCCCTTTCCTGAGCCTCTGTTTGGATGTGGATGAGGATGCAGTGGCTTCTGGCTCCCTGCAGAGCTGGGGGCCCAGCACTGGGTTCTACAGAACAGTGCAGGGCCACCTGGAGGGAACTCAGCCCCTGGGCCTGAGTGCTCAGGGGTCATTTTGTAGGCACCTTGCCTGCTTTTTCAGGTCCTTCCTGTCCCCAGGAACTAGTTTGCCAACAGCCTGACTCTTGTCGTGTTGCTGAGAGTGGGGAGGAGGTCACCTTGAGTTCCTTGCTGGCTGAAAGCTGCTCCCCAAGTGCACCTGTTCTCTTTCCCTTTGAATCCACTGCCCTCAGCCCCACGGCTGCCCGCTCACTTGTGGTCAACATGCTGGTGTCTTACTTCTCTGTGTGAACAAGGAGGAGTGGGGGGTGCTGGCCTTCCAACCTCAGGAAGGCTATCCGGGCCATGCCTTGGCCCCCCAGGGGACCATCAGGTGGGCAGTGCTGACTCTGCCTCAGCTGTCTCTAGCACACTGACAGCTTGGAAAAGGGGAAGCAGGGAAGGAAGCAGCACCCTGTGCTAATGACACTTATTAAGCCGGCAGCTTGTCAGGGATGCACATCCTGCTTGCCAGAGCATACTGAAGAGCATGGCTCAGTGGAGCCTCTTCACGGGAGGCCTCAGCAGCAGGACGTGCCACGCAGCCTGCAAGGGGCTCAGGCTGATGGTGTCCAGCATAGCGTGCTTGCAGCAAGTGGTCAAGAGCAATGGAGGGCATCAGGTTCTCCCGTTTCACAGAGACAGAAACTGAGGCTGGGTCTGCAGAGTTGCTTACTGGTTGAACATAACTGCACACCAGAGCTCCTGTGCCTGGGGCTTTTCTGTGGCCAAGAGGTTCGTCCCTTGAGTGACTGTTCCCAATTCTGATAGATGGTAAACAATTCTGGTGACAGCCACAAGTGGCAGCTGCTTCCTTGTGTCAGATCTTGACACTCACAGGGTCCCGCCAGCTCTGCAGCAGCCTCGGGGAGGCGTGTCATTGTCCCATCTCCTGGCACTGAGTGGCGAGGGTACTCCACCAGGCACCTGGGCAGATGTGTCGTGTGGAGTAAGACACTGCTTGTCTCCTGAAGAAGTGTCTTTGGTGTGTGTCCCTTGTGTTTGTGACACTTCTATTGGTTTAGCCCTTCATAGACAGTGTTTTCTTAACCATTCTAGGTAACAGAACTCTTAAGGCTGTAATGAAAACTGTGGATCCCAGCCCCAGAAAAATGCACAGATCTGCACACACAACTCTTCCCAGATAATTTTGAGCGCTGCCCTTGAGGTTCTGAATGGAGAGCCAGCCCTCCGAAGGGGCTAGCAGCTGCTGCCGTCATGCTAGAACCACAAGCCTAAAGTATCACAAGTTCTCTTTAAAATCAAACAACAGAGAAAAGGATAACAAGATTGTGGCATGTTCACTTAGCATGGTGAGCATTGCCACACCTCCCAATGTGGTGAGCAAAAGGAAGCAGAAGGGCCGTAGTGAGTCCTTAGGGCCCAGGTGTGGCGTTTACCTCCGGGCGAGGCGGGGGATGCAGGGAGGAAAGGGCAGGGTCTTGGGGGCAGGTCCGTTCCTGTCTGGGTCACCTGGTGGCTGTGTCACTCAGTGAAGTTTTATTAAACTGTATGTTTAGAATTGATGCACATTCTGGCTCATGTTATACTTCAGTGAAAGTTTCCTTAAAATTACAGCTCACATGTGAGCACTTAGAGCAGCAGTTCTCAACCTGTGGATTTTGACCCACAGGAACCGTATTAAAGGGTAGCGGCGTTAGGAAGGTTGAGAACTACTGACCTAGAGTGTTTCGGCTACTACTGATTCTCTGTGTCACCCCCTGAAACGTTCACACCTTTTTTTCTAAATGAGGGAATTTCTGTCACTGTCCTCCTCTGACAGGTGAGGAACCAGGGGCTCAGTGATGGGAGTAGCTTGGCCAGGGTCACACAGCATAGGCCCACTGATGCCTTACCACAGCACGCTGATTTCCAGCATGCACAATATGACCAGAGAGCTGTGCTCAGGACCAGGCTTCTCCCTCCATACGAGAAGAGAAGCAGCCAAGAATTCCAGCTAGCCCAGCTTCTCAGGTGCCAGAGATAATGAATGGGAAGCTTCCTAAATTGAGTGCTCTGGGGAATCCGTCTCTAAATGTCTCAGCCCAGAAGACAGCAGGATCAGATAGTCCTCGGCCCTGATGGTCTCCTGACATCTTGGGCAGGTCCTCCAGCTCCAGCTGAAGTCACTGCTGTCATGGGGGAAGTTCTGAGGCACAGGCTGGATGGGCCTTCCAGAGGCCTCGGCGCTGTGGACTGTGGCAACTCTTCACCTATAGCAGGCGTCCTCAAACTACGGCCCGCGGGCCACATGCGGCCTGCCAAGGACATTTATCTGGCCTGCCCAGTGTTTTTGCTGCCACTACATGTCCTGCTTAGCAGGTGACTCGTCCCGGGGTCCACAGTCCAGCCCTCCAACGGTCTGAGGGACAGTGAACTGGCCCCCTGTATAAAAAGTTTGAGGACCCCTGACCTAGAGGGTGAAGAGTACCATGTTGGGGTCTCTAATGAAATCTGTTGCACAGCGTCTTTGGCACTACAGCAATGCTAGGAAGAGGCCACTTCCCTTCATTCACTGCAGTAGCTGCCTTATTATGACTGGCCGCCCCGGAGCCCGTATTGGCTTTTTCCATAAACATTTGTATTAGTATTTCAAACATACAGGAAAGTGCAGACAAATATCTCCCATCTACTTTGATTGCTAAATACCTTTAAATCTACACACACAGATGAAAACTTTCATGTTCAATAAATATAATAAACAGATGCAAACCGCATTCAGGTGCTCTAGGCTGGAGGAGTCAGCTGCCAGACCAGGTGGAGCCAGCCAGGATCATTCACAGGAGCTTGGTCTCTCTGCTTCCAACACAAATGCTTTTGGGAAAGTCTCAGCTTCCTTCACCTGGAGAGGAATAATCTTGCTCATGGAGGACTGGGGGCAAAAGGGCACTGGGGTGGTGTGAGAGGACCCAGAGGCCTTGGCTGAAGCTATGGGGTTGGCAGCGGGACAGGGGTGAAAGGAAGGTGGCCAGATCAGTGGGAGTTGGCGGATCAGGGCCTATTACTGCTGATTCCTGTGATTTTCAGGGTTACTGAGTGTGAATGTACAAGCAGACTGAGGAGGATAGCTGGTTGACTTTCTTCAACGATAAAAGCGTAACGACATCCACTCCTGAGGCCTCCCACCCCTGTTTTCTTTATCCCAGGTTTCTCCATCAAGGTTAATCTAATTCTGCTAAATTAAAAACCACCCCGTGCATACCTGAAGAGTATACAGAGATACTCAGGAGGGCCCAGCATTGCTCTCCAAGTTCTCAAAACCAACTGTGAGGCAGGGCCTTTCCCAGAGCAGGTAAAAATTGAGACCTTGCTCCCAAGGGGCCACCCTGCCCTTGACTTTCAGTCTGTTGTGTTTTGTCTGGTCTTCTGTGAGCACATTCTCTGGCTGCTTTATATTCATGGATGAGCTATGGGAGGGAGTGCTCCAGATCACCACTTCTCCCATCCTCAACAAACCAAGTGGAATGGGGGAGGGGGTGAGCACCCCTGGAGTGAGAAGGTCTGTCCACCTGTAAGTGCCATGGCCATCCTTAACAGAACCCTGGGGAATGTGTCCTTTCCCATCAGTGTGATGTGAGCAGCTGGGGACGCATCCCTTTGCAGGAGGCACCTTACTCACCTCTTCCTCAGATAATGGTGGAGGCCAGAAAGAGTGGTGTGGCCCCCTGGCTCAGGTTCCATTGTCTTTCTCCTGTCACAGAAGCCCCAAGAGGCAGGGCACCTCACCAGCCTAGAGGAGGCCTCTGCCATGGGCGGAAGTGGCAGGAGCCCCAGAGAAGGTCAGGTGTGTAACGTGAGGTGCTGCTGTGACACCTGTGTTCCTTTCCCACTTCACCACCCATTTCTGCTCCCCAGTCAGGTTGGTTCTTTTGTGGCTCAGATCTGTCACCCTCTAATAAAGTGGCTTTCTGGCTGTGGAGGATTGAGAGCTGCTTCTGGAGAATGTAAGTCACTAATAGAATGGAAAACACTGTGAAATACTCCAAGGCGCCAAGCTGGGCCCAGCCCAGTGTGGTTTTAAAAGGCTAATAAAAATCCACCAATTAATTGTGACAGCTCAATGGAAAATTATTCAATTGTGAACGGGGCAAGCTGCAGCTCGAAAGGAGGAGGGGAGAAGTTGCCATGGTAACATCAATGTAAGTTCTCATCTCTCTGGTGGAAGCCAGCCTGGGAGTGAGCAGCATCTGACTGCCGCGCCTGACGGGATGGGATGCAGGACACACTAAAGCAGCCTTTGAAGTGGATGCTCTGCCGGGACCCAGGGCTGCAGCTAGTCCAGGCTGAGCGCAGGCCTTCCCTGGGGTGGAAAAGTTATTTTCTGAAAGCCCCTTGTTCTCAGAAAACCAGGGAAGGAGTCGTCAAGTAGAGGAGAGAAAAGTACCTGTACTGTGTCTCCCTGTACCTTTGGCCAGCTGTCAGCTAAGGGGCTGGGGGGTCGGGGGTGAGTGTGTGGATACACAGCAGGTTTTCCATCTCCCCAAAAGGAAGGCACTCGGACAAGTGCTCCAGACAGCCACGTTCTAAGGCACAGAGGACCTTCAGGGAAGAGGCCAGCATTCCATTATGGCTTTGCAGTTACAACTTTTATTTCAAAAGACACAAAACACATTTACGTTTGAACATCGGAAACGTAGCCTGTCACAGCAACACAGTTCCCTCCTAGTCTGCCTCTCCCTCCAGAGACGCCTGGTATGACAAACAGTGCACCTCAGAGAAGGACAGCCGTGAGGGGTTGGCACACCACCGAAGGGGGCTCTCACCAGCGGAATCTTGTTCATAGGATGGAGCATAAGATTTTTTTTTTAATTTTTAACTTTTGGAGCCATACTCTGCACCCAATGGAATGTGCTTATTCACAGATGAACTTTGTCAGCTGCTGTGTCCCTAGGGAGGCTGTCAAAACTGATCACCCTGCTGGCATTGCTCCGTCAGCTGCCTTGCTGTGCCTGCTCATATCCGTGGCCCTGTACAGCCTCACCTCCATGCCACGCGGACCAGCGCACTGCTCAGAGCCAGACCTGGGAGAGGAGAGAGGCTGAGACCGACGGGGTCCTGCCAGTGAACTGGAACAGCTGCAGCATTGTCCTCATAGTCAAGAGACAGCTTGCTTTCTGTCACCTTCTTGACACCACCTAGTTCTTTACTTTAGCAAAGTTAGAAATCAAAAGTCAGTGAACACCTAACCAATCCTACCGCTGATTATTCATAATACTAATCTACATCTGTAAGCCTGGAGGAGCAGATGGGAGTGAAGATCGATGAAGAGTCCACAAAGATGTCCTTCCAGGGAGCCTGGCCCTTACCGCCGGCCGAAGCGAAAGCTGAAGCCACCCTTTTTCCTGCTGTAGCCATTGAGCTCTTCAGCCAGGTTTCCTAATAGGCCGCTGGCCTTTTCACCATCGACAGGGAGGAAGCTGGTACCCTCGCTGCCTTCGTCCTGCCTCCTGAAGCGGAGCCTGAAGCCAGCATACACTCTGCCCAGTGTCTGCAGCTCCTTGGCCTTGACAAGCAGGGCCTGTGGCCACGGAGCTCTTGACCACCGAGAAGACCCCCACATGAAGTGGGGTCGGAGCCCCTCTGCCGGAATGGACCAGCCCACTCTGGCTGCAAAGCTACTCAGGGCGTTTGTGGGTCCTCTTCTGTCCCGTAGAGGAGAGCAGTTGACCAGCGGCAGGAGGAGGAGGTAGGCCAGGGAGTAAGGGCTCATCATCTGACCCAGAGGAAACAGGAAGAAGTTACAGTCTGCATGTGCATGCACAGCAGCTTGTCCAAAGTCCTTCCCATGCCCTGAGCAGCCGTCAGTGAGCCCAGCTCCCAGCAATGTTAGGGACCACCAGGCCTTCATTGTATTAGCAGGACCAGGAGCTGATTGAACCAACAGGGCAGGTTCTCTCTCTCCTGGAGTCGCCTGGATCTCACTGCCTTGGCAGCTTAGCACGTGATGCCACCACTGCTGGATGGCAGACCCATGCCCAGGCAGACCCAGGAGAGCCAAGGGAATTTGGGTTCATTTTTCTTTTATAATTATTGATTCTTGGGCCACATCATTTTAAAGCCAAAGGGTAGGAAGTTAAAAGCATCAATCTCCATTAGCTTTGAACTTGATAATAAATGGGTGATAAAAAAATAGCTGTTTATCTGACATGGCAGACCCTGCTCATGTCTCTTTAACATGGAAATTAGCTGCTCCTAAAAGCAGAAAATGGATTTGGTGGTCCCAGCCTAACTTGGACCCCTACCTGGGGGACAGCGTGCAAACATGGTGGGGCCTAGGCAATCCCTAGGGAACACTGCCACTATGCCAGGCTCTGAGCTAAGAGCTTCATTTCCATCTGTTGTATTTCGTCTTCACAATAGACCTGCTTCATAGGTACTTTTAGTCTTCTGGGCAAAAAAAATGTTGGAAAGCCTAAGAGATCGTGCCCAGGCTGCACAGCTAGAAAGTGTAGAGTCTGGATTCATGATCTTTTTTTTTTTCTTTTGAGACAGAGTTTCATTTTGTCACCCTCGGTAGAGTTCTAGGGCATCATAGCTCACAGCAACCTCAAACTCATGGGCTTAAGCGATTCTCTTGCCTCAGCCTCCCAAGTAGCTGGGACTATAGGCTCCTGGCTATTTTTTTTGTTGCAGTTGTTTAGCTGGCCTGGGCCAGGTTCAACCCCACCACCCTCGGTGTATGTGGCCGGTGCTGTAACCACTGCGCTATGGGCACCGAGCCTGGATTCATGTTTTTGTGTGCCAAGCCTGTGGATGATACCATTCATACATATTAGCATGATCCTCACAGCCCTGTTCTGGGGGGCATTACTTTAGCCCCACTTCACAGAGGCAGTGTCTCACTCCAGCAGGCAAGGTCACTTCCCCAAGATCTTACGGCCTTAAAGTGACTGAGCTGAGGTTCAAGCCCAGATGTAATATGTGCCGTGACCTATTCTGTACCACACGTGACAGTCTTAAGGCCTGAAACAGAACCCCCCAGAGCACCCCTGCCTTAGCAACAACTGCTCCTCCCCTCAGAAAGGAGGCCTTTTTAGTAGTGGCCAGGGGTGCATCATAGCTGGCTCATCCTTCATAGAGTAGAACTGGGACTAGAATGGAGAACACTAGCTGTGCAGAAGAAGGGGCAGAAGTCCCCAGAGCCCTCTCCAAAAAGGCTCCTTTGAAAACATTTCAAAGAAGTGTGCTCAGCCAGAAGCTTTAAAAAAATAATAATGGGGCCGGGCACGGTGGCTCACGCCTATAATCCTAAGCTTCTGGAAGGCTGAGGTGGGAGGATCCATTGAGCCCAGGAGTTCAAGACCAGCCTGAGCAGGAGAGAAACCCTATCTCAGAAAAAAAAAAACAAGTGCAGTGATAGGCACCTGTAGTCCCAGCTATTTGGGACTTGAGATTACTTGAGCTGTGAGCTATGATGATGCCACATCTCTCTCTAACCTCAGCCATGGAGCAAGACCCTATCAATAGAAAAAAATAAAAAGCACTCACACCCCCTCTTAAACCCCCCTTCCTTTCTCCCCTAATCCACTTCTCCCAAGCTTCTCTAGGCACAGTGTTGGAGTGATTCCTGACCTGTTTATCCCTGGGGCCTGGGAGGAGCAGGGGCTAGCCCTCCCCTTCTCCCCGTAAAGAACACTTCGCAAGCTGCTCTGTGGATGGGAACATTTTCATCCTGGTGGATAAATCCACCTGGAGGTGGCCTCTGGTTCTCTAGAAAGGTGATTATCTTGGTAGAGCAGGTAGTGGCCCTTCTCCCCGTGGGATCATGGACCCGTGAAGAATTTGGTAGAAACTGGGAGCATTTGCCACTGAAAATGGGCCCTCAGCACAAATGCTTTGGGTCCCAGAGTCCAGGAGGCAGCAGGAAAAGCACAGGGCAGGAGGCGGTGGCACTGGCTCTGGCAGGGCCCCTGTGGCCAGTCTTCACTGCTAGGACTGTCAGCAAAGTGAAGTTTCTCCACCTCTCTGGGCCTCCCTTGCCCCATGGTTCTAGCTACCCACTGACTGCCTGTGCCCAGCTTCTGGCCAGACGAGGCCCTGAGCTGGGGTTCCCACTGGGGCAGGGCAGCTGTGCTCACCATGCGGCAGGGCCTGCTCCCGGAGGGCTGGTGGGTCCCTGGGTCCAGGGCTGGGTGAACGTCTCCTGGTCCTCGTCTGGGAGGTGTGGCGCCCAGATTCTCCCTGGTTTATATGGGCCCGTGGGCGTCCTTGCCACGGTGCTGCCTGATTGCTGTGCATTCCTGACCCTGGGATTCCATTGGGGATGCTGTGGCGAAGGATGGGGCAGTGCTGACTGCATTAATGAAAGACGCAACACACACAGGACATGGCCTAATGAGAGGACGGCTGGTTGCCGTTGAGGGGAGGGTGGCAGCGTCACGAAGTAGGAATTGCAGGTACAGAAGCTCAAGCCCCTTGGCAGAGGCACCGATGCCCACCTTGCTAATCCCAGCAGTCCTGCCTTTGTTGGGTCAGCCTTGCTGTCTGGAGTGGACGTGGTGGATGGATGTCTATACCTTACACACCCATGCCCAGCTAGCAGGACTGCTGTCATGGGCAGGAATGTCACAGGTGCCTTTGAAGCCAGTGCTGCCTCTTCCCCTCCACAGTGAGGTGAGCAGTTCTGCTCTGGTGCCAGATCTCACCTGCTCTGGAGCCCAGAGAGGTTGAGCCAGCCAGTGGATACCCTGTTCCCTGGAAGGGGGCTCAGGGCCGCATGGCTGGACAAGCTCTCCTCGAACCATGGCCCCTGCACCCCGGTCTGTTTGATCCTTAGAAGGCAGGCTTGGTCTTTCCCACCCTGGCCACCCTTGGTGTCTGATGCCACAGGGGATGTTTTCAAAGCTCTGCTGGCTCCTGCAGTGGCCATGGGTGCCTTGTTCGATTCTGAACCTCAACTGACTGATCACTGACACCTTTTGGGCTACAGGAGTGGGCCCCAGGGTGAGACTGTCTGCCTCCCCAGGTAGACCTTGGCAAGGGTGCAGTGGTCAACTCTGAGCTTCTCCCACACCAGTGCCTACAGCAGAGGATGCCCGCACTCATCATTGCCTGCACTTGTCACCACCCGCCCTCTCACACCCAGGTACTTGTTATCTAGGTGAGTCTGCTGGCCTGGGTAGGGAAAGACGCTGTTCTCACCCACTCTGTATCTCCACAGGGAGTGTGAGGCTGCAGGAGTCTGCACGGTGGGTCCCACATGCCCCTCCTTTCCTTGGGAACCACTTGGGGAAGTTGCCTGTGGCCTGTGCTTGTCGTGGGACACTTGTGACTTCTCAGCATAGAGCCTAATGTGACCCTCTGCTGCCTTGTGGGAGATCGTAGGGCCACCCTCAGAGCTGCTGTAGGCACATGGGCTGCATGGCTAAACCAGGTGCATATCCTAGGCAGGTGGAGTCCTTGGCAGCCTGTCTGTCCTCTAGGAACTAACTGTGGAGGGGTGGTGGATGCCTGACTCGAGGGTGGGGCATTTGCCTGTAGCCCCCAGCCCCTTCCCTCCTGTGGTCCGGGTGACCCTGTGCTGTCTGAGGCACCTGTGGGAGCCCAGTGGTAGGACCCCAACTGCTGCTTCTCACCTGGCCTGGATCCTCCTGCCAGTGACAGCAGGGTGCTGGAGGAGGCTGCGCCACCCACCCGTGTTGGGGGGTGACTGCTCCCTCCAGTCCGGGAGCTCAGCATGGGATGTTTTTCCCCAGTATCCAGGGGCTCTCACCCAGCTGACCTACCACCTGCATCTGCAGAGTGTGAGGGGCAGAAGTCATCCTACAGGATAGAGACCGCCTTGTGGCAGTCTGCTGACCAGAGCTGCACTAGCCTGAACCCATCCCCGTCTAGATGCCCTCTGCTCCGTGTGCATGCATGTGTATGCCTGTGTACGCATGTCTGCATGTGTACATACATGTGAGTGGGGAGGTGTGGTGTTCTCTGTCTCCCTGGTCAGTGCTGGTTGATTGTGATACTGGGTGCTACCGATGGGGCAGCCCACTGCAGGTCCTTGTCGTGTGGGAGGCCTTGGTGTAGAGCCTCACCCCCTCCTCGGTTCCCAGGGGTATAAAACAATGGGTGTTGATTCCAGAGCTGTGCTTTGCAGAGTTCCTTAGGGACAGCTGTGGAGGTTGGATAGAGGGGCAATATAGGGTCCAGCCACACAGGCACCCTCTCTGCCCCTATGAGAAAAGCTCCACTTGACATATTGGGCTCCAGGAAAAGGCTGGACTGTGAAAACTGCTGGGGACCCCTTCAGGACTGAATCCGGTGGCTCTGGGAAGGGGCCACTTCAGGTCCTGAGTGCTGGGTGCTGGTTTGGGTTTGAGCACTGTCGGAGTGAGTCTAAGGATGCCTCTGTGGCCCACCTGTTTCCCAACCCAGCTTCAGGTCCCCACCTGCCCCTCAGGATAGGGGCACCTGGAGCCAAGTCAGGTGTCGGAGTTGGCACTGAACTTCCCGACTCCTGGGGTGGTCAAGTGCCCCCCAACACCTGGACTGGAACACTGCTTTTAGAGGCGCTTCCCAGGTGCCTGAAGCTTCTGGGTTCCTCTACCTCTTGAGCAGTTGGGGGGACAACAGTGCCCCTGTGTCTGCCACATCGGCCAAGCCAGGGTGTGGGGGGGTCTCTCCACTAGCAGCTGTTGGGCAGGGTCTGGGCTACCTGGAAGTGGGCAGCCTGGTGTCAGGGGAAATGCAGAGGCCAGTGGGGCCCGCAGAGTAGAAGCAGCTCAGGCGCAGGCGTCACCTAGACTGTGAGGTTCCCTGGGAAGCTGTACTGGGAGGGGTGCAGGGAGGGTGCGGACAGGTCTCAGCATGTCTAAGATGACCAATGACCCCCTGCCCTTGGGTCTCAAGGTGAGAAAGCTGAGACTTGGGAAGGGTGGGGTTGGGTGACACAGCCCAACTGTGCTGAGACCTGGACCATTCCCTGCCAGCCCTCCCTTTACCACACGTGAGCGCTAGAACTGGGTTCCACGCCTGGCTCAGCCCAGGACCAGCTATGACCTGGGACAGACCCCTCTCTGTCAGAGACGCTATTTCCACACCTGGCTGGAATAACAGCAATGCCCATGTCCTGGGCTGCAGAGCTGTCGTCCTCACTGCTGCTAGTGAGAGCCCAGACGGTGGAGCTCTTGTCACCCTCAAGCACAGGCTGGGGGTGCTGGCAGCTGCTGTTCCCTCTCAGGGCATCAGTTGGGAACCCTCCCAGGGCCCAGGCCAGGACAGCTCTACCCCAGGGTCCCGCAGGCTGTGGCTAAATGTGAGCAGCGCCCACTTCACCCAGCCGGCCCCGTGAGCTGCGGCCAGAGACACTGCTCAGGGAACCATCCTGGGGCAGTTGGGGGGCAGGGGCTAAGCTGGACAAGGCCCCACTGGGCAGGACCATGGGGAGGTAAGTGACCATGATCACCTTGGTGACTTTCATGGTCTATTTCTGGGGTCCCATCCCCACCATCTCATCTCTGCCCCCTCAACCCTGTGGCTCAACATGAGCTATAAGAGTGGGGAGGACTCCGTGCCTGGTCTCTGGGAAGAGATAGTGAGATTCCTGTTTTGTGAACCCAGGCAGGGCCTTTGCCACCTGGCAGGGGTGCGGGGGGCGGGGCGGGGGCAGGCAGGACTGCAGGGCACTTCCAGCTGCAGGGAACAGCCACCGTGGGCTCCTTCACCAGCCCCGCATGGCACTGCCAATGCAGGCACTAGATAAATACTGGATTTTATTAAATAAACTCAGGGGATTGTTTTATCCATAAGCCTCAAATTGGCTTTATGAATAAATAGCCATTGGGGACTGTTCGTTCTTAATGAAGAGTCTCAACTCCTCAGAACTCTATCCCCAGCCACAAGAGAGACCCGCAGAGATGGTGTATCACCCTGGGGGTCCTGGGGAAGCACAGATAGGGGGCCAGATCCATCCCCTACAGGCAGACCCAGGCCTGTCTCCCTTCACAAACCACCAGAGGGTCCTGTGCGGCCTCCCTGGCTTTGGAGCTATCTAGAAAACTGGCTGCTCTAATAAAAGGGATAGGGGAGCACAGGGGAAGCAGGGCAAGATGTGGTCCTGCAGTGTGTGGGGTCTGAACCACCCATGCCCTGGCATGGGGGGTGTCCAGCTGGGCTAGAAGCAGAGGACCAGAGCTGAGTCCACAAGACTTTATTGGAGACGGAACACACAAAACACCAAGTACACACAGCCTTGCCCAGCGAGTGTCCTGTGCCACGTCTCGTCCACAGGCTGCCATGCTCACCCTCAGAGCTCCTTCCCCCGCTGCCCCCAACATCCCATGGAGGCCCCGAGTTTGCCAAATCCTACCAGCTGCTTGGGCCATTCAGAGTCTAAGGACAAGCTTCTCTTGCAATTAGATAAACCGAGGCCTTGGGAAGGCCATCACTTGGGCCGAATCTTGGTGTCCTGCCTCCTTGTTCTGGGTTCTGCAAGTCCCCTGCTGGGTCTTCCTACTGGTTGGTGCTCCTCAAGCCACAGGATACGGATGTGTAGTTGGCCACAGGCCTTGCTCACGCCCCTTCCCCCCACTCAGAGACAGCTTCCTATCCCGATTAGGGCTGGTGTCCTTGGTCTTGCCAGTGCTGTGAGCAGTTTAAGTGGACACATCTCACCAATCCTCTAAATCTTTATGCTCCTGGGTGACCTCTGTTGACTGTGGCTCCTGCTTCTGAGGCTCCAGCAATGGTTGGGGGGCAAAAATTAGGTAGGCACTGGCAGTGTCACTTCTGCCCCAAAGACGAACATATAAAACCTATTTACATGCAGTTGCAGGGAAGCACCCTCTGAGAACTGCTCGCAGCTCTGTCCTTAGCTCCTGGCTGAGGCCACCAGGGTGGAAACCAAGGGTCCTGCCATCCTCTGGATTGAGCGGGCTGGGGGAGCCAGCTGGGTGGCCTTTGGTTTAACTCTGAGATGTATACAAAGTTTAAGGGGCAAGGAACAAAGACACCAGCTGACCCACAGAACCTACCTGTGTGTGACAAGGCAGCTGCCAGCGCTGGGGACAGTGTAAAGGATACTGCCTGCAGACCCTGGTGTAGAGGTGGAGATCCCCTGCCCCACTCACCTCACCAAGGGAGCAGGGAGAGGGGTTTGGTCAGGTGACAGGTGGGACAGCAGAGTCACAGGCAGGCCCAGCAGAACAGGGTCAGAGTGCAGTGGCCATGGGTCCTGGGTGATGATGTGCACACATGAGTCCCTTGGCCTGGTCACTCATCCCTAGAACCTCAGTGGAGTTGCCCTTCCTCCATATGCTCTTTCAGCATCCCCATTTTCCTATGGTCACTCCATCTCAGGGGATAGCCACGTGCAGTGACATGAGTCTGGGTCTGTGAGTAGGGGGCTAGGGTCCATTCCTGCTCAGTGCCAGCTGCAAAGGCATCAGGACAGCAAGGTGCACTGGCCAGGTCTCTCCCTATGGTGGGCTTTGTGCCCACTGAACCAGAGCTTGGCATGGCCATGTCCCCAGCAGGGCCAGCCTGGCCCAGGAGAGGGGCTGTAGCAATTAACTGAGGCTGTAGAGGGACAGTATCTCCAGTGTAGCTGGCTGCTGAGGACACATGCTACCTGCACCTGGCTCCTTAAGGCCACCCTCATCTGTCCCCCAACCCCTAGCCAAGCCTGAGCTACAG